ATGATTAAAGTGTCGGCGTTTAAAGGCAGCTTTAACTTCGAGCTCGGGCGGTGCCTCCCCCCCCCCCCTTTCACCCCTCCGAGTCCGCGGGGACGCCGCTCCCCGATCTGTTGCGTAATGCTGAGATGCTGTTGTAGTTGTGCATGTTGCCGCTGTTAGTTGACGCGTGCTGTACCAGGAATCTATGTTCCTCTCGCTCCAAAGTTTATGTAAGTCAACTCGGCTGAAGCGGAAGTTTAAACCGCCTACCGCTCTTTTCCAACGCCCATACACGCCCTTCTGCGTATCCCCTTTGTCTCATCCCCTTTCCATCTCCGCTAATTACATGTTCGTATTCCCTTTCTTCTCTCTCCAGTACGTCCGAGCTCCCTCTACCCCAATACTAATATACACTGCAATTTAAGCTCGTATCTCCCGTGGCCCAACGTCAATATACTTACATGCATGTAGCCTTTGATGCAACGCCAATATAACTTACGTCTTTGTCTCCTTTGCCTTCGGGGTCTTGCTACACCGTATTATGGCCTGGCGGTTATTTTTGCTTCAGTAATGCGACAGAGAAACCCAAAGGCTTTTTGACTCGCCCTTAAAAGCCTTGCGAGGTTAGTTCACGAAGGGTCGCTTGGCGTCGGCGGAGGAATATTAACAGCCATACAAACTTCAAATCGTATGACTCATGAGGTTTTGTTGAAAAAATGTATCTATTTACAAGAATAGGTACATTTCCAAGTATTTTAGTTGCGTTCTGGATAGTCTAAAAAAAAGATAAACTGTTTTGATTAATAATGGATTACACTACACACACACACACACACACACACACACACACACACACACACACACACACACACACACACACACACACACACACATATATATTATATATATATATATATATATATATATATATATATATATATCACGAATGTCACTGCACTAAGGTTCTAAAATAGTATATATGTCACACCGCTTATATGTAACATGCAGTACCTAGATGGAATCTAGTTACTATTTCAATACACAATACGAAATATACCTCAAAGCAGAACAGTATCAAAAGAATGGAAACTCTACATAAACCAACAACGATTGAGAACAGACGAGCGAGATCTGCAACACACCCATTAACGTGATACATCAATTATATGTTTGTGACATGAACTTTGTTGTGTTTTTATAATGCCAATATTACAATCATTAGTAGCATTGCAATTGCAGCGGAAATCAGCACATTCCTCTGATATACATATTATTAAATTCTAGATCAACGTTATATTATTTGAAATTATGACATTTCATTGTCCGTGGGTGCGCGCGCTCACGGACACTGAAATGTGCGTGTGTGTAGATGTGTGAGTGTGTAGATGGATGGATTCCCTGTATGTAAGAATATGCACTTATCTATAATGTATATATGCATCCGTGTATGTGTGTGTGCAGACGGGAAAACCTATACCCTCAGGTGTACATGAAACAAAAGCGAATCCTATACGCCACCTCACGGCCTTCGGGCGCGATTTTACAAACTGTATATCAAAGTACATAAATGCCAGGTATCACTAGCAGGTTGTTCAGATGTTTTCTCTATACATAAATACGCCTTAGTTGAATAAACTGAAGCTGAAACTTGAATATTTCATTTAAAAGATGTTCATATAATGCATTTAACGAAGAAATTAAATATTATTACGTCAGAGTTATAATGATGATCACTATTGTTTCCATTTTATGGTCATATACCGGAATCCACAGAGACTTCGATGCTCAACTACTTTGTTGTATTTATTTCCATATCAAAATGATGCGATTAAAGTTCTTTCCAGTGGGTAATCAAGGCTTTACAGTTCTTATTTATCATCTTTCAATTCAGACACCTATTGTTACGCTGTTATGCCAGAACACAGGGACAATATATGATATTCACACAAATGCATAGCAAGAAGCACAAAAGCAATTCCATGTACATACTGTTATTTTACAATAATCACACGAGAAAAGGAATGAAGGCAAAGATTAATGAGTCACACCTTTCTGCAATACATTTGAATTTAACTGTCACAAGATAGTTCTAGTGGTCGATGTGTGTGAAAAAAATGGTTCACATTAGGCTTTGAGCAATATTATTCCCATTAGGACACAGTACTCGGCTTTTCATGGCATCGCTTGAGTTAATGAGGAAGACAGCTAAGTCTATTCTACACACCATTGCGGTTCAGGTAATTGGATAGGCCTATATATCCTTATGGAATACAACAACCCTACAGCTACATTTTACAACCAAGTGATACTATGGAAAAAATATTTATACTGTGAGTTTATTCGATAAATTACGTTATAATCACAATGTGGATTTGAATATAAATCCTTTGTCTACAGATCTAAGTTTGTAGGTGTGTCCACATAAGTAACAAAATGGTCGTGAAAGTAGTTTTCGCTTTTCATCTGAATAACATCTGTTTCTTTGCTGTATGGTTTTCATGTATTATAATTACACCCTCTA